GAAGTGAATTTCACCCCCATCGAATAAATACATGAAACTTCCCTTATCAATCTCAACCCAATAAAAAATTATAACAAATTTCATCTGAGTGTAAGCATATTACCTACAAATATCTGAATACATCACATAAATTCTAAGTCTGATATATCAATTTTCACGTAGCATTTTTCGAACAAAATACCAGACAACAAAATCGCAAAACATCATTATCGTAATAAACAGTGAAATGTAAGTCGATCAGAACCCTCACAAACAAGTATAACATCCTATAGTGACACACCTTGACAAAGATTCACACGGTGGCTTTAAAGTGCATAAAGTCACAATCACATCATAGATCGAATCAAACAATGATAATCACAGTCTGAATATTATGTAATGATAATGCACCCCTACGCCTTACACACCGTCTGAAACGTATGTTCCATAGAACCACTAACTACAACACACCATCCTAGGTCGCCACAAAGACAAAGGCTACTTAATTCGAAGTGACATTCAACACATCAGTGAATACACTAACTTCCCCTATCAATCCAAACCCAATATAACATGATAAATATTTCATTCGATTTTGATGTAATCCGAATGTAAATATTACATATACAAATATCTAAATGCATCGCATAAATTCTAAATCTGATATATCAACATATTTCACATAACATTTTTCAAACACAAATAATAATAAAATCAAAAACAGCAATAATAATCATTGTTCGATATATGCAAATATCATGCACCGGTACACCTTACAAATCTCCGAAGTTGGTCTGCCACAAAGGCTGAGGCCACTGAATCCAAAGTGACATCCTTATATACTTGACAACATATATCATCAGAATTCTAATTTTATCCGAATGTAAATATAATATATATAAATAATCCAAATACATTGCCTAATTTCTAAGTTCGATATATCAACATTTCACAAGACATTTTCCAAACAAATACCATACAATCAATAATCTCAAAACAATTATGCTCACAATAAACAAAGAAAATGTCAATCAGATAACTAACAAAAAAAATATTGCACCCTATAGAGAGACACATTGAATCAAACATTATACAAATCACATCATAATTCATCATCTAACACATCATGTCTTTAAATCTATAAAGTCACAATTCACATCATAATTCAAATCAAACAATGATAATCATTATCCAAACATTAATAATCGAGTTTGAATTATAAATTTAATTTAAGAATAAATTATCCAAATCAACATGATAATCATTATCCAAATGAAACAATAATTTAAATTAATTTCATTTAAGAATATTAATATAATTTAAATTAATGTATTCTTATGATATTTTATAATTTATAATTTAAATATTATTATTATATTATAAATTATATAAATAATTTATTAAGAATAAATTAATAAATCAGAGTTTGAAAACCAATCAGTAAGGGAAACAAATCAAAACATTATAAGCACGTACCATTGTTCTCTTGTTTCAAGTATATCTCTAATTTGAAACATCTTCACTGCTCAAGACAAGTTGATCGCACGGATTGGAGCTCCTAAGATGCAAAAGGAATTTAGTAAGTAAATTTTCTAAGCTACTTTTCCAAACTTATACAATTAAACAGTCAAGAACTATGTGGCCCATCATATACATCTAAAAAAGCTATACCTTGTGCATGTCTTCTTTAAGCCTATGCTACATATGCTAGTTTTTTGCTTTAACTGGACATACAACAATTCTCATTGTGGAAGGTGATTCTATTCTTCTTTCTCTCTGCCTTGAGCATTGTTAGAAGAGTGTGCTCGCCAGTCTCCTCACCTTTGGATTTCTAGAGTGTGTTTAATTAATATTATAATAATTTAATTTAATTTAATTTAAGAATTTATAATATAATTTTAAATTTATAATTTAAATAATATTATTATATGGGGCAAGATCTAATTACACTATGTAAAAATCTTTTAGTTTTACACCATTTTAGGACCATTGGATGAAAGAAATTAAAGAATGAGATTAACCATGGAAAATGAACAGATATTCACTAAAAAAACGAGTTAATCTCAACCTTTGATTTCTCTAAATCCAATGGCACTAAAAAGTGTAAAACTAAAGAGTTTTACGCAGTGTAAATGAATCCTAATCCTTAATATATTCATAAATTATATAAATTAATTAATTTATATAAATTATATAAAATATTTTAAATAATATTAGAAAATTTAATTTAAGAATATATTAACATTTTCAATTAATATAATCTTATGATATTTTATAATTTATAATTTATAAATAATTTAATTTTAAAATAAATTAATAAAACTATACCTCGTACAGGTTTTTGTTTTAAGCCTTTGCATATGCTAGTTCTTGCTTTAACTGGGCAGACAACAATTTCTCATTGTGGAATGGTGATTCTAGTTCTTCTCTTCTCTTCCTTGAGCATTGCTAGAGTGTGCTCGTAATGTCTCCTCACCTCAGGATTTCTGCATACACTCTAAACTTTAAGTGAAATAAATAAACCTAACGATACAGAAAATGAGAATGAACCATTAAATTTCAATGTCAGATATATAAAATAAAATCATTCAATACATTCACAGAGTATGTTTTGTATCAGAAGATTTCAAGTTCAGCCACATGGATTTATCTTGAAAATTGCCAAACCAGGAGAATAAAAATGTGACAAACAACAAGCATATCACTAAGGCCTTGCTAAGCATCCAACCTAAAAATCACTTAGAAATAGGCAAAGAAATCCCAACCTAAAAGTGGAGATGCAATAAACATCAAAACTACATTTACGATGTACCATTTTTCATTGGAGTAGACACAATAGTTCTCAGTCTGAACTACTTAGCATGCAACAACTTCCCAAAGTTTAACAAATATGATGCCTTAAATTAACAATTCGTTAGCATCAAAAACTTATGTTCATAAACACATTTTATTCCATGCATAAACATGATGGGCCTAATTTCACACATACGATTATCACAACCCAAATCATCCACTCTCAACTTACATAATAACTTTTTCCAATTATTCACCCAAAACCCAATAGGTTAACATTAAATACGCATCCACGGAATTAATTTCATAGAAAGTTTAAATTACAGAGAAAACTATGCAAACCTAAGATCCTGACAACAAAAAGGTTGTCATATGGCATTTGCTTGTTCCGGGGAAAAATCACCCCTTAACCATGTATATGATTTATAGATTTAACTCTTGGCAAGAAAGTCAATGGTAGTCTATTTAATTAAAAATATATATGTAAAACACATAATAACTCGAGCATCCAATCTTTATTTATATAAGGATAAATTTTGTGGAATTAAAGAGATTAAAAGACAATGAGAATATTACCTTTGCTACATCTTTCAACACCGAAAAGGTTGCATCTCTGACATGGGATCCAACCATTAAGACACTACAATTCAAATTCACAACATTCCAATAGTAATAGCATTTAAATAATAATAGGATAAAAAACAAAGCATCTCCTCCTATATGATTTTATAAAGACAAAGTAAAATGTTTCAGACCATTACTAGATGATGACCATCACAGAGTTCAGTTGCCATTAAAGGAAGGAAGATTCATATATTATTTATACAAATTGTTTTGGATACTTGAGCAGAAAATTTACTAAATGCACTTAGCTAGCATTGCCGAAAGCAAGAAAACTTACATTAGAAAACCCTTCATCATCAGAATCCTTCATATCACTGAAAGAGGGAAGTTCAAGCGGTGCTGTGTACACACATTGATCGCTGTCCGTGAGCTGACTTACCATAAGAAGTTGAGAAAGGTAAAGTGTATTTCATTTGTATACATGACGTACTTCTTGTTCAATCTTAAAAACCTTGATGTTGCCATCAGAATCTCCAACATACCTGCAAATTCAGAGAGAAAGAAGACATATTTATAGGTAAAGTATAGAGAAAGAGAACATAGGCAATACTGATTCTGATGACAGACAGTAAGTAGATTACTCTCATATCTAATATGATAGAATCAGCAATTAACCAAGCAAGCAACTTGCCTCAATATGGTTCTTGAAATTTACATTGATATATTAAGGATGCCTTGATTCTGGACAAACTGAAGAAAATTAAGGTTCATATAATACCTTGAAATAACTTTCAAAAAAAAATTACAAGGAAAAAAGAAATACTGATATACATTATTAATGATAGTATCAAGAAATCCAGATTGAGAAATATAGCATCATAAACGATGATACCTTGAACAGTAAGTGCATAGACAGCAAGGTAAACGATGATACCTTTTCTGATTGAAGTTGATTATTTACTGTCAAAGTGAACTGTGCATATCCACTCCAGCAGGTAAACTTTCTGGGTCGGCAACATCCAAATACATAGACAAATGATCCACGTTGTTACCTGTATGAAATTCAAAACCAAGAGTATGACAACTGATCCACGTTGTTACCTGTATGAAATTCAAAACCAATAGTATAAAGACTAAACTATCATCGCCAAACAGAAAATCAAGGGGAAAGTGTAAGTACTATAAAAAGGAATGAGCAGTGTACCATTTAAAACCATCAACGATAAAATCATCTGAGAAAATCAAGGGATTGGGACTCTATTAACAAATCGAGAAGTAAAATCACAACAAAATCAAACACTTTCTTCATCTTCTTGTCGCTGAAAAATAAAAATAATCAAGAATAAATCAAAATAACTAAATCATAAGCAGTAGAAACCGTAAAAAATACGAAAGGCCAACTGAAGATATAGCAACGAGATGCTTGTCGTTCGAGAGTGTAATTGGAAGTTTTGAGAAGGAACAAAGAGAGGATATGATAGCGGGTGAGAAATGTTAGGGTTTGAAAACGGAAGTAATTTTACCTGAGATGGGCGGGATGGAATAAATAGTCAAATTTTTATTTATTTACCTAAGATAGAGCCAAAAAAAAATAGTCGTTGCAAGGGAGCGTAAAATTTGAAATTCAAAATATTTATTTGATTTATTTTTTTTTTCAAAATTATCTCTTTTATTTATGAATAAATTTAATATTTTAATCGATTATCTATGAATTCAGTTTGATTAATTTCATTTCTTCTTTTCATTTTGATTTTAAAGTTATTTTGAAAAAAAAATTACAAAAACTTTATATATGATTTTAAATATTATTTAATAAAAAAAATTTGTCAAAAATATTTTAATATTTTTTGTCGACGACGAATCGACGTTTTATACCTCACAAACCCTTGGATGAAAATTGTGATCCCACACGATTCCGACGTCAATCGTGGTAACTACACAACACATGATTGAGAATGTGACAGGGACTATATCGGTGGCGATAGACTAAGATTAGGATTTGGGTTTTAGAGATCTGGGTTTCTTTAATTTAAGAGAAATTATGATTTTTTTTATAAATATGTTAATATTTTTTAAAAATAAATTTCAAATTATTAGATTGTGACATGTGTCACTTGACAGAAGAAATAAACGTTTACTGCCCGAGCACCTAAAGTGGTAACGTTGGACACCGGGAGCATTCAAAAATAGTTTAGACACATTTTATAAAAATATTATAGTTTGGACACTTATTTGTAATAAACCTTATTCATTTCTCAACAAAATACAAAATCTGAAAAAAAACAGTACAAAACAACAAAACTAAGCACATTAAGCCACAGGCACCATGCAACTCGAGAACAAGAAGCAGCAGGGATAAGGAGTGTTTTACATATACATATACGTGTATACATACATGTGTCATACTGTATACGGTTGTAGTTATATTACATAAATAATTTTTAAAGGAGTTTTGTAATTTATAATACATGAAATAAACCCATAATTTATATTATCACTATATCATTCTATTGAATTTTAGAATTTAGAGAATAAATAAATAAGATTAATTTAATTATAATATGAATTAAACCCACGATTTCATGATAAAGAAACTAATAAAGATTTAGACCAATAATTTGTTTCGTTACAATTATTGATCCTAATGCATTGATAAACAAATGAATAGTTTAATAATTCTCATGAAACTCGTGCCTTGGTGGTGTTGAGGGTAGTTTCAATCAAACATCGTTGTGTACATGATATACATATATAAAGAGATATATTTAAATTTATAAAATTTTAAGAGTCGAAAATAATTTTTTAATAAATAAAATAAATCTAAAATATACGAAATTTTAAATTTAAAAGATGATCGCCTCATCTACATCGTCTAAGTCCGTCCCTAATTGCGTATTAATATTATCAAATCTCTTATAAAATTCTTTAATTTATAAACATTTGTCAATCGGTCAAAGGACAACAACGAAAGTTGAAAATATTTGTACTAATCATGTTTATCTACAAACCAGCATCATTCCAAATTCGCCTCTTCACGAGCTGGAAAACAAATCACCATTAACAAATCACCGTTGAAATCCATCGGTTTGTGTCGCCACCTTCACACCGCCGTCCGATCGTCTGACATCTGTGGGATCAATCGTCAATCAAGCTCCCCCGATACCGCTAGCAGAAAAAATAAATTAAGATTGGGACCCGCAGTTGGAGGAATCTGGGAGTAATAAAAAAAGTGTTTAGTGGAACCTTATAAACAATATCCAATCACGTGCTTCCACTTGTAACTTCGTCGGCGGCTGTTGTTATCTTTACCATCGCCGGTGTCAACTTGGGAGGAGAAAAAAGGATCACTTTTAAGGAGGGAGGTTCCGAATCAGGATCATTATTAGCCAAACTACATAGAATTTATTGATAATAGTATATTTATCTCTTTGGAATTTTAAATACAATGTCGTTTTTGCGGCGGCAGAGGAAAGGAACGGATTCGTCAATGTCCTCGAACTTTGTAGGATCCAGAATCGAAGACGAGGACGAGAAGAAAGGATTGTTCTCGAGTCCCAGGAAAGAGAGGAATACTTCTCAGAAATGGTCGTGCTGGGACAGTTGTTGCTGGTTCATTGGTTTTGTGTGTTCAATGTGGTGGCTCTTGTTATTGTTGTACAACACAATGCCCTTCGATCCCTCATACGTGACAGGAGATAAATGGGCCGTTGACCGACCCACCGGTGTTAAGTTGAGGAAAGAGGGCTTGACGGTGAATCATCCCGTGGTGTTTGTCCCTGGGATTGTGACCGTGGGCTCGAGCTATGGAAGGTCACCAGTGTGCTGAAGGCTTGTTTAGGAAACGTCTTTGGGGTGGAACCTTTGGGGAATTGTATAAAAGGTACCATTAACTTTTACCCCTTTTCTTTCCTTTTGTTTTCCCTTTCTGAGTTCTACATAAAAGGTATCATTGGCCTTGGGAAGGCCACCAGTGTTCTTTTATGATCTTGACTTAGGTTGGAAGTTATTAGAGAAAGTTCTTTAAAGCTTACTGATTTGCACAAGAAATATTGCTTAATTGATTTCTATAGTTGAAGCCTTCTAATTATTGCAAATGCTTTTTCCTTTTGTTTTATGTTTGATTATGGGGCATTGGAAATACATATATGGATAATAATTTATTTTAAGTTCAAAATATACAATCCACAACAAAATAATTTATTTAAAGTTAGTTTGAAGGGATAAATATTTGGATATATAATATATATATAATTAAAGTTTATTTTTAAAAGTTCATTTGAATTGTGTCTTGTAGGAACATGTTGGGCCCAATGCCACCATCATTCCGTTTTCTTGTTTCTCCTCGACTTATGGGTTCACCATCTTCTCGTAACAATTTAGACTACATAATATTTTACAGTTAAATCTGTTAACAAAATGTATATAAAAAACATATACCTAGATCGACCCAGATGAAAACACGTAAGAAAATCTTTCATAAACCTATTATTTAGTGTACGTATGTTTCCAGCCCTTCCCGTAGTGAACATACATAATCGATCAATCATTCGCTAGGGTGATCACAAGTTGTGGGGCACCTTGGTGCTTCCTTAAAGTGGAACCTAGAGGAAGCTTATTCAACGGTGAGATGAGACGAGAGGACATTACTGGCCGTGACGTCGCCCGTTATCGTTGATCACAATCGAAGTGTCCTTTTGCACGTTGCCCATCTCTAACTCTCGGTTCATGTTTGTAACCAAAAAGAAAAACAAAAGTGAAAAACAAAGCCCTGTTTTCACTTGTATGTAATTATTCTAACTTTAATCCGCCTATATTTTGTGTCTCTTATAAGCCACACCATCTTACCCATTATTGATTACTTCATTTTGTGTCTCTTATAAGCCACTCCTTCCTACCCACCTTCTTACTCATTATCGATTACCTTGAAGTTTCGGCATAGGATGGATTTAGGCATTTTAGGTATTTATACCTTTAAATTAACTCTCAATTATTTGACATTAAACGTTAATACTTCTTACATTCTTGGTGCCCGAATTTAACACTTCTTAAATTAACTATAATATTTTTACTATCAAATTCGCTTGGTTTGTACTTATTATTTAAATTTATGTACATTGTCTCTCATAATATTTGATTCTAATTCTGTCTCTTAGCCTATATTTTCCTATTCTATATGTACTCAACTAGAACTAAGTAAAAAGGAAATGAATAGTCGAAGAACTAGTAGGGTAATTTATCAGATAAATAAATAAAAATCATCCACTTGATCAGTCTGAATTCTCGACTCCTCTCACCTCACTTCTTCTCTAGAAAGAAGTGAATAAATTATTAGTAATGAATCTAAATAAGAAGAATAAACTCTTTCTTCTCTCAAAGCCAATGCTTCAT